TGAGGCAGGAGAATTGCCTGAACCCAGGAGGCGGAGGTTGCGGTGAGCCGAGAGCGCGCCATTGCACTCCAGCCTGGGTAACAAGAGCGAAACTCCGTCTCAAAAAAAAAAAAAAAAAAAGAAAAAAAAGCAAAGATGCCCATTGGATAGGTTGGGAATCTAAGTTTGCTGTGTTTTGTCTTATCCTGAATTGAAAGACAGGCACAGTGTGTCTCCAGGAGACCTGAAACTCCACTCCCCTTCCTACATGCCCTTCTTATTTGGATTTCTTGCCTTTTAGGTCAAGTGCTACCTATGCTGGAAAGTCTTGAAGTACTTGATCTTTCCATGAATAGAGACATTGGTGGCAGTCTAAACAGTATTGCTCAGGGATTAAAAAGTACCTCAAATCTGAAAGTACTGAAGTTACATTCATGTGGATTGTCACAAATGAGTGTCAAAATATTGGGTGAGTTAACAATGGCTGAATTTAAGATTACATGTATAAATATATATGATATACATGTAAATATACATATTGAAAAGTAACCAGGAAATATAGCAAAATATAAACAGTGGTTGTGCTGGGGAATAAGGTTATGGGTAACTGAAATTCCCTTTAGGCTGGGTGTTGTGGTTCATGCCTGTATCCCAGCACTTTGGGAGGAGGAGGCAGGGGAATCATTTGAGATCGGGAGTTTGAGACCAGCCTGGCCAACATGGTGAAAACCTGTGTCTACTACAAATACAAAAATTAGCTGGGTGTGCTGGTACGTGAGCCTGTAATCCCAGCTACTTGGGAGGCTGTGAAATCGTTTGAACTCAGGAGGCAGAGGTTGTAATGAGCCAATATGGATGTCAGAAGAGACTCCATCTCAAAAAAAAAAAAAAATCTCCTTTATATTTTATCTATTTTCTAAATATTTTACAGAGAACACATGTTTTCATGATTATAAAAATAAGCTTTTAATATGACTGACTCTGAAAAGGACAGTCTATTTTAGGTTGAGATAAACACTGTGAAAAATTCTTTGCTGCTAAAACTACTCGGTTTTCTCTTTTGATGCTCAGTCGTAGGAACGAATTGGCACTGATGAGAAGAATGGCTTTGATGGTGTCTGCAGTTAAAACTTACTCCGCTGTAGACAGTATCCATATTAACAGAGAATAGGAAATGACATTGTGTTTTTCCCTTCAACTTACAGAGCCTGTAATATTCACTGGCATCTTGAATAAGTCTAACAATCTATGCACACTCCAATGCTCAAGTGTAATAAGAGAGGATGCTCAAGTGTAGTTGCAGGATTCATGTCAAAACTCTCAGCAATCTATGCAGATCTTAGGGAGCGTGTGTGTGAAATCATGGTCAGGTCCACAGAGGGCCAGAGGGTAGGAAGTCTACGCTTATTCGTCCTTTGGTCTTTTGTGAACACGGTGTGGTCCCTCAGCCTCCCTTGCTGCACCACTGCGCCTCTCCTGCTCCATACCTTCTTACCACCTTGCAATATGTAAGAATGGGGTTTTTCTTTCCTTTCCTTTTTTTTTTCTTTTTTCTTTCTTTTTCTTTTTTTATTGAGACGGAGTCTCGCTCTGTCGTCAGACTGGAGTGCTGTGGCGAGATCTCAGCTCACTGCAATCTCCGCCTCCTGGGTTCAAGCGATTCTCCAGCCTCAGCCTCAGCCTCCAGAGTAGCTGGGATCACAAGCGTGTGCCACCCCGCCCAGCTAATTTTTGTACTTTTAGTAGAGACAGGCTTTCACCATGTTGGCCAGGATGGTCTCCATCTCTTGACCTCATGATCTGCCCATCTCAACCTCCCAAAGGGGTGAGATTACAGGTGTGAGCCACTGTGCCTGGCAGGGGTTTTTCTTTTTTTAAGAGATGGGAGGCTGGGCGCAGTGGCTCATACTTGTAATCCCAGCACATTGGGAGGCCGAGGCAGGCAGATCACAAGGTCAGGCGTTTGAGACCAGTCTGGCCAACATAGTGAAACCCCCGTCTCTACTAAAAATATGAAAAATTAGCCGGGTGTGGTGGTGGGCACCTGTAATCCCAGCTACTTGGGAGGCTGAGACAGAAGAATCGCTTGAACCCAGGAGGTGGAGGTTACAGTGAGCCAAGATCGTGCCACTGCACTCCAGCCGGGTAATAGTGCAAGACTCGTCTCAAAAAAAAAAAAAAAGAGAGATGAGATCTCATTATGCTGCCCAGGTTGGTCTCAAATTTCTAGGCTCAAGAAATCCTCCTGTGTTGGCCTCCCAAGCAGCTGGGACTATAGGTATACTACTGTGTCCAGCTATCAGAATGGGATTCTGACTTTCTTTATAGATGTTGCTTTTAGGTACTTGAGTGAGCTAAGGAAATTAGATCTTTCCTGCAATAAGGATCTAGGTGGAGGTTTTGAAGACTCACTGGCTCAGGTGGTCATGCTAAAGCATCTGGAAGTCCTAGATCTTCACCAGTGCTCACTAACAGCCGATGACGTGATGTCACTGAGTAAGTATATATTGTACAGCAAAGAAAGACTTTTGGAATCTTGGCCTATATTTGGAAACTTGGAAATTTCAATATGTACACTTAAATTTACTTTTTATGTAGTGATTGGAAAGATCACTTCATAAAAGTTCTGTGAATGCCCCAACATAGTATTTGGCAGGTATTAAATGCCCAATAAATGTTAGTGAATCTCAATTGCTCCTATCCATGTCTGCAAATGATAGATTTGGCACTTAGGGAAAATTTTGAATTTATGTTGCTGTTTAGAAATAAATCTCGGCCAGGCGTGGTGTTTGACGCCTATAATCCCAGCACTTTGGGAGCCCGAGGCGGGCGGATCACGAGGTCTAGAGTTTGAGACCAGCCTGAACAACATGGTGAAACCCCATCTCTACCAAAAATTAAAATATTAGCTGGGCGTGGTGGCCCGCGCCTGTAATCCCAGCTACTCAGGAGGCTGAGGCAGGAGAATAGTTTGAACCCAGGAGGTGGAAGTTGCAGTGAGCCGAGATTGCGCCACTGCATTCCAGCCTGGGTGACAGAGTGAGACTCTGTCTTAAAAAAATAATAAATAGCCGGGCGCGGTAGCTCAAGCCTGTAATCCCAGCACTTTGGGAGGCTGAGGCGGGTGGATCACGAGGTCAAGAGATCAAGACCATCCTGGTCAACATGGTGAAACCCCGTCTCTACTAAAACTACAAAAAATTAGCTGGGCATGGTGGCGCGTGCCTGTAATCCCAGCTACTCAGGAGGCTGAGGCAGGAGAATTGCCTGAACCCAGGAGGCGGAGGTTGCGGTGAGCCGAGATCGCGCCATTGCACTCCAGCCTGGGTAACAAGAGCGAAACTCTGTCTCAAAATAAATAAATAAATAAATAAATAAATACATAAATCTCTTAGTGTCACAAAGTTGATTGATTACCAACAGGTTACATATCTGTAACCAAATGCTAACACAAAGCGTATTAAGGCTCTCCGAATAACAAGTGATGTGAAGCCACTCAGATACAAGCAAAGTTACAGAAAAAGAGTCAGTGGGGTGGTACATGATGGCTACACATTATAGCTTTAGGAAGCTACCCTTATTTTCCTACTGCAAACACAGTTCTGTAATTACAACATGTAATCTAGAAATGCAATTTCCCACAACAAACAGAGCAAGCATAGCCTTGAGATTAAGGGTTTTATCCCATCTGTGGCCACAGTAAGCCTTCAGTGTACATCCAGATTCTGACCATGGCTCACCATCTAGACCTCTACTACCCTGGTCCAGGTCACAGTTGTCTCATGCTTAGATTATTACGAGAGTCTCCCTGTCCTCTCTCACTCTGACTTCATTCACTCTCCTCCCTTCCCCCTCACTGACTCTACCGCGGTCACTGCCCTTGCTGATTCTCAGACATGCCAGCCTGCTCTGGCCTTGGGCCCATGCTCTCTCTCCAGGTCATGGGCAATTCCAGGCTAGAGGTGTCTCGTTTAGTATCTCCCCACTGCTGAAGCACAGGCACCTGTACATGGTGGCACCAAGTAAGTGCATGTTGAATATGTGAATGAATGAATGAGGTCACAGTGAGAATAAAAATACGTTTTTGGTTGTTTATAGTATAATTTCGGGAGGAAGACAGCAAAATAGGTTTCTGGGTCTAACGTCTATCTTTTTAAACCTGCTAAAGTATCTCTCAGACTCTTATCTCTCAGTTTTGGAAAATGAGAAGAGTTCAAGCCTTTCATGAAGATTTTAAAGTGACAAAATAATCCCTTTTTGAGCTCTGCATGGAGCCTTATGGGTTCTTATCATCCCCTTTACTTATCATAGCCCGAGCTTCATACCTAGGAAGACATTCATGAGTTATCGGTCCACCAGATTCCCTTGGTACAACTAAATAACATGAATACCACATCTCATTTTGTTATTCAGTGCTGGAGGACCTCAATTGTTCCCACTGGTATGACAGAGGACTAAGCTTCCCTTATCTGGGTCTTAGGTTCACAGCTACCGACATGGGTGAAAGGCCCTGGGAAACTAAGAATTATTCGATAACTGTAATGAATTGCCTTGTTCTCCTGCTTAATTTTGAAAAGATTGAAATGAAAATACATCCTGCTTTACGCTTTATGATGCTAAATAACTGAACATTGCTTTATCCGATCATTGTAAATTCCTCCAAAGAAATGGAAGTACAGATCCTTTAAGCAATAGCTACTGATGAATCCTCTAATGGTGTGGGGCATTGTGACAGGGGCTGCGGAAAATCCCAGCCATCAAGGAGCTTCGGTATAGCAGCGACAGGAATAAACCAATACATATCCAAACTCCATGGCGAAATACAGAGTGCTGAGCGGGTTAGAAGAGGGAGAAATAGTTATGCCTGTTGACTTGACAAGTGCCCACCTGCCTTCCCTGCCTTTCCCCTTTCTCTCCCCTCATCTCTCTTCCTCCTCCCAGAGACATTTGTACCTCTGATGTTCCAGTAGTTCTCCATTCTGGGAGTGAGGTAGTTCCTATACACACAGAGCTTGCCTTTAGTGAGAGAAGACAGAAAACAAATATATCAACAAGAAAATATCACATAATGGTGGGTGCTGTGATAGTGACCAAGGGGTTGCTTTGGTGTGGGTGGGCCTGCAAGGCTTCGAGGAGGTAAGCCAGCCTTGTAGAGATCAGCGTACTGCATTTTCTGCCTTGATAAGAGCTGGGTCTAAGGCAGGAAAAGTAGCCAAAAGATCGTGAACAAGAGGTAACTCCTAGCCAAGCCCTCAGGACAATTTACTAGAGTGCTGTTACCAATAGGTGTCTGGGCTGATTGCTTGTTTTCACTGCCTTACTGGTACTTACATTCTGAGAAAAGAATTATAATTTCAAACATTAATCGAGCAGTTAGTATGTGCCAGGCACTTGATCTTCACCAAGTCATTTTACCTTTCCAATGACCATGTGAATTAGAGAAGGCTAAGAGTTGCAGAGTTAAGAAGGCTGAGGTTCAGAGAGGTTCATTAACTTGTCCAAAATCACACAGTTCTTTAGCAGCAGATCTAAGATCTAGTTCTCTGTCTCCACAGCCTTTGCTCTTCTAGCCTGGAAAGGAGCTTGGAAGTTGGAAAGCCCACACAGAATGCTGGGAAGATGGCTGGATTGGGATGTGTAAGGGAGGGAGGACGGGATTGGGGAGAGCTGTATTGACTGACAAACTAGACAGACTGTGGGAACCCAACACCCAGAAGACTCTCTGTGAGATGGTGCCTAAAACATGTCACTGTCGATATTTTAACAGCCCAGGTCATTCCTCTACTCTCAAATCTTCAAGAATTGGATTTATCAGCCAACAAAAAGATGGGCAATTCTTCTGAAAACTTACTCAGCAGGCTCCGATTTTTACCAGCATTGAAGTCATTAGTCATCAACAACTGTGCTTTGGAGAGTGAGAGTTTTATAGCTCTCGGTAAGAGATTTACCAGATCCCTGCAGGAACCATGCATGTGAGAAGGAGACCTCTTTTTTCTCTGTGTTTCATTCTGAGGCTCAGCCAAAGTTGTGAAGTACTAATTTGTCTTCTTTTCGGGACATACTTCTTAAAAATGACCTTCTGAAAGTCCACAAAAATGATTCTGGTATAGTCAGCGTTTTTGTTGTGTTTTGAGACAGTATCACCCAAGCTGGAGTGCAGTGGCGTGATCTTGGGTCACTGCAACCTCTGCTTCCCAGGTCTAAACGATTCTCCTACCTCAGCCTCCCCAGTAGCTGGGATTACAGGTGCATGTCACCATGCCTGGCTAATTTTTGTATTTTTAGTAGAGATGGGATTTCACCATGTGATTTCACCATGTTGTCCAGTCGGGTCTCAAACTCCTGACTTTAAGTGATGCACCCTCCTGGGCCTCCCACAGTGCTGGGGTTGTAGGTGTGAGCCACCACGCCTGCCCATGGTATGTGCAGATTTAACATTTAAAATTTAAAGTGTGTATAACCAACCTGGGTCATCCAGATCCATGGTAACTTGTAATTTTGCGGAGGTGTCAGTATGAGTTGGGATTGCTGGGGATCCGATGGGAAAGTGAGGCATTTACTTGAGTATGAGGCTAGCTGACTGCCAAGCAGTTACTCCGCACAGGATTTATGTGCTCCCTCGGGAATCTGGGTATGCCTAAGGTCACAGATATGTCCCAACCTACGTCAGGGACCTACTGAATCTGAAAGTTCTGCCCATTTGGTGACAACTGCAGTGTCAGCAAGTAAAGAGGGGTGGTGTTGGAGACCCTGGCACTGTGTATACAAACTGCTGGTTCCCTGGGTGATCGATTTGGAAAAGTGCTACCAAGTCTCTTTGTTTCAAAATATCTTCCTTTACTTGCTGACATTACACTTGTCACCAAATGGGCAGAACGTAACAACTGACATTTATTGAGGATATCCTGAGTGCCAGCCCCCTTTCCAAGTGCTTTACATGCATTACCCAATTTAATTCTTACAACTATATAAGGCATGCGCCGTTGTTCCACTTTATATTTTGCAGACAAGGAAACTGAAACACAGAAATGTTAAGTACATGAGATAACCCAAGGTCATAAGAGCCAGAGCCAGGATTTGATTTCAGGCAGTCTCATTCCAGATGTTTTAGAACCAGAAAATGTACCAAACTCTTCCCCACAGAATAACCGTAATCAGTTTTAGGAAGCTCACAGGCAGCCCTTCAAGCATACATATAGACTGTCTACAGGTGGGTCCACGGATCCTAAAACAGCAGGGCTGAAGGCTACATATCCTGGGACTTTTCCCCATCCACACATGTGGATAATGAGATGAATGATGCTGAGGGAGCCCTGGGAGCAGGGCATGGTGAGGACAAAGTCTATAGGAGCTGAACAAAAAAAATGGGCTGAACAAAACTCTCAGGCTGAACAAAATACTCAGGCTGAAAAAGAGGGCGAGGATGCCCTAAATAAGGCCAGGCATGGTGGCTCACACCTGTAATCCCAACACTTTGGGAGGCCAAGGCAGGTGGATCCCCTGAAGTCGGGAGTTTGAGACCAGCCTGGCCAACATGGTGAAACCCTGTTTAAAAAAAAAATACAGCTATGCACAGTGGCAGGTGCCTGTAATCCCAGCTACTCAGGAGGCTGAGGCAGGAGAATTGCCTGAACCCAGGAGGCGGAGGTTGTGATGAGCCGAGATCGCGCCATTGCACTCCAGCCTGGGTAACATGAGTGAAACTCCGTCTCAAAAAAAAAATAATAGCCCTTGTCTGGTTGACAGTACAATTCATTTTTAAGGAAGTGCCAACTGATAAAAAACACTTGTGAGAGGGTGAGAGAGAAGGACTCCATTTTCAGCATTATCCAGGAAGCACCCAAATCCAACAACTCCAGTCACGTGTATGGGTGCAAAAAAGAGTTAACATAGCAGGGTTGACACTGCTATCTGCTGTCAACCAGAAAGTCTGGCCCTTAGCTGATGGCCCAGAACTTGGAATTTGGGGGTGTTCATACCATTTCCTAACAGACAAGGGTAGTTTACTGTGCCTAACCTCTTTGCACGAACAACATGGTTTCTGTTGAACGTGAGCTTTTCTTTTGTGAGCATGGAATTTTGGTATATGCTGAGCAGAGGGTACCTAGATGACTGACCCCTAGTAAAGAACTCTGAACTTGGGGGCCGGGCACGGTGGCTCATGCCTATAATCCCAGCACTTTGGGAGGCCAAGGTGGGTGGACCATGAGGTCGAGAGATCGAGACCATCCTGGTCAACAAGGTGAAACCCCGTCTCTACTAAAAATACAAAAAAAATTAGCTGGGCATGGTGGTGTGAGCCTGTAGTCCCAGCTACTCAGGAGGCTGAGGTAGGAGAATTGCTTGAACTCAGAAGGCAGAGGTTGCGGTGAACCGAGATCGTGCCATTGCACTCCAGCCTGGGTAACAAGAGCGAAACTCCATCTCCAAAAAAAAAGAAAAGAAAAAGGCCGGGCGCGGTGGCTCAAGCCTGTAATCCCAGCACTTTGGGAGGCCGAGGCGGGTGGATCACGAGGTCAAGAGATCGAGACCATCCTGGTCAACATGGTGAAACCCCGTCTCTACTAAAAATACAAAAAATTAGCTGGGCATGGTGGCACGTGCCTGTAATCCCAGCTACTCAGGAGGCTGAGGCAGGAGAATTGCCTGAACCCAGGAGGCGGAGGTTGCGGTGAGCCGAGATCGCGCCATTGCACTCCAGCCTGGGTAACAAGAGCGAAACTCCATCTCCAAAAAAAAAGAAAGAAAAAGGCCGGGCGCGGTGGCTCAAGCCTGTAATCCCAGCACTTTGGGAGGCCGAGGCGGGTGGATCACGAGGTCAAGAGATCGAGACCATCCTGGTCAACATGGTGAAACCCCGTCTCTACTAAAAATACAAAAAATTAGCTGGGCATGGTGGCACGTGCCTGTAGTCCCAGCTACTCAGGAGGCTGAGGCAGGAGAATTGCCTGAACCCAGGAGGCGGAGGTTGCGGTGAGCCGAGATCGCGCCATTGCACTCCAGCCTGGGTAACAAGAGCGAAAACCCGCTCAAAAAAAAAAAAAAAAAAGAAAAAAAGAAAAAAGAACTCTGAACTTGGGCCAGAGGCAGTGGGTCACACCTGTAATCCCAGTACTTTGGGAGGGTCTTGCTCTGCTGCCCAGGCTGCAGTGCAGTGGTACTATCATGGCTCACTGTAGCCTCGACCTCCTGGGCTCAAGTGATCATGCCATCTCAGCCACCTCAGCCTCTCCAGTAGCTGGGTCTGCAGGAACGTGCCACCACACCTGGCTAATTTTTGCACTTTTGGTAGAGATGGAGTTTTACCATGTTGCCAAGGCTGGGAAAACATTTTTTTAAGGAATTAATGGTCATTAGAAGGCACAGGTCTTTCTAGCTGCACAATCAATGAATCATGATCAACTAGGTATTACACTAAATTATATCATCTGAAATAAATCTACAATTCAATTTGAATTAAATAAATGAAATAAATATATATTTCCCTACATCACTTTTAGAAGAAAAAGTTCCATTTCTCCTTAATGTAGATCTCTGTACTATGAGTAAGGGATATTCTTACTAGATATTATAAAAGAATATATATTTTCCCCTTGAACACATTATTCTCTAGAAAGAAGACAGAATAGTTAAGTGCAATTAACTTGGGAATAAGATATTCTAGTTAATTTTAACTTTGGAGGGCAACTGAAAATTAAGCAGAAAATCTTTTACTTTTCTTTAAAAATATTTCCAAAATATATTAGTTGCCTTCCTTGCCTGCAATAATTGCTGTGAAGTAAACAAAAATATGTTTTGGTATTTCAGACCCTTAGGGAGGGTTGGCCCATCTGAATCTCAGCAATGACTGTGCAGTGGAATATGTACCAACCAGGACACATTCTGGAAACCTTGACTAGCTGTCCAAGCACTTTGCGTTTCTCTCCTTCCAACATGCAAAGTGAAGGAAAGAAACCCCAGTTGGACAGTGAATTCCAATTTATCAAGTTTTTGTTTGCTAAAGTTTCCAATATTCCTTCAAATAAAAACAGACAACATACATTGACGCCATGAATTGAAGGCAGCAGAAAATGGTCTTTACAACTTTCTCAACTGCAGTTATACTAATATGTTGGCCTAGACCAGTTTCTTCAAATCCAAAGCAAGCTTACAATCTCTAAGAAAACCTAAAGTACTGCTGTTCTTATCATTATCACTTTTAGCTGAAGCCTCCGTTCACCTCTCTGCTCTAGAAGTATTCAACCTTTCTTGGAACAAGTGTGTTGGTGGCAACTTGAAGCTGCTTCTGGAAACACTAAAGCTTTCCACGTCTCTTCAAGTGCTGAGGCTGAGCAGCTGTTCCCTAGTGACAGAGGACGTGGCTCTCCTGGGTGTGTATCTACTTGTTCCCAAGCGGTCTTGGCACACAGAACAGAGGGTACCACCCCTGCAAAGCATGGAGTGGGGAGGTTGGGGAGGCCTGAGACCTAGGGTGAAGCCTTCTATGCAGATTCCCTTCTCCCCAGTATCTGCTGAGAGGTTTAATTAGAATGAGCAAAGGCAATTCTAAAACCATATGGCAGTGGAAGATGTTTCATAAAAGGATATGGATATAGATAGTGGGGAGGTTCCTGAAAGGCAAACAGCTCCGTTCCACACCTCCCCGGTCCATGAGTGTTCCCACTTCAGTCATCTGCATTTCGCCCCATCAGCATGGTTCCTGTACTACTACTTAACTTTTCCTTTAAATTGACTCTAATTTAAATGCTTTTATTTAAACAGGAAACTGATTATCGCTGTAACTGAAATACAGACGTCATTTCCTATAGACATTAGACTGCTGATGGCTTTGATTAGAGGCTCCTTCTCTCTATTAGAAAAAGATGAGAGAGGTTTTAGACATACGGTAGCACCAATCTGACACTTTTTCCACGTCAGTCTAGAGAGATGGAAAGATAATTGAATAAGGAATAACTTTTGCACTGTGGGATTTCAGTGAAAATATTCCAAATATTCCCTAAAATCATTCTATGTGTCCACTTCCCATTATAAAACAATGAATCAGAAAGTACTATCTTTGTCTCCCAGCTAGGCTTGTCCTCTCACCTCAACCACTATTCAGCCATCAGCTGCCAGAATTCCAAAGCAGTGAGCACGTCTCCAAATAAAGGGCCAGAACAGTCACTCCAGGTAGTTGTGTCTGTATTCTCAGTGTATATACCAGTCAGTTTTGCTATGACATGACACATGGGCCTAAAAATTATGTATTATGCAAGAATGATGCTGTAATAACCACAGGACTTACGGTTGGAGGCACCACACAAACACTTCATCAGTGGCATATTTTAAGAAACAGAAGCTATGAAAAATAGTAATATAGTTTTACATATTAAATAGTTAAGAAATACGCCAGTATTACACTTTCCCCTGAGAAAGACCTGAAGTTTGTAGAAGTGGCCTGTCCAGAAATTCAAGACTGCAGTGAGTTATAATTGCCCCACTGCACTCCAGCCTGGGTGATAGAGCAAGACCCTGTCTCAAGAAAAACCAACCAAACAAAAAGAACATGCATATAACTGAAATGTGGCATTTCTGGATTGGATCCTGGAAAAGAAAAAGAATAGGCACAGAAAAATGGTGAAATCAGAAGAAAATTTATATAGTTTAGTTTCACTGTATAACCTCAGAATATTATTTGATGGGCATGTAATATCTATTTGAAAACATAAAATTTAGCTTTTTTTTTTTTTTTTTTTTAAAAAGTGTCCTTTTAAAAAAAAAGAAGATTATTTACAAATGGTCCTTAGTTAAAGCCGATGAGCCACCACTCTTTACATTTAATTAGAGAAAGTCTGTAGGAAGAGCTGGGACTCCAGTGGAGCAGACAGCAAGAACTTGACAAAAATATATATATATTGGGTTGGGATTTGGAAAAAGAAATAAAAAAGCTTGTACATGGGATGTATAGACAGGAAATCTGTTATTAATTTCAGATGTCCTGAATGAAGCTGCTAATAACAAATCATTACTAATTACTAATCGTGTCATTCCTAGTCCGGAGATAGTGTTATGGGAAATGGGAATAGCCATGGCCGGCAGTATTCTTGCATGTTAGCATTTAGAATGATTTTCTTTTCTAGCATCGGTTATACAGACAGGTCATCTGGCCAAACTGCGAAAGCTGGACCTGAGCTATAATGACAGCATCTGTGATGCAGGGTGGACCATGTTCTGCCAAAAGGTGCAGTTCCTCAAAGAGCTAAGCGAGCTGGATATTAGCCTTCGACCATCAAATTTTCGAGATTGTGGACAATGGTTTAGACACTTGTTATGCACTGTGACCAAACTTCCTCAGATCACTGAGATAGGAATGAAACGATGGATTCTTCCAGCTTCGCAGGAGGAGGAACTAGAATGGTTTGACCAAGACAGAAAAAGAAGCATTCACTTTGACCATGGTGGGTTTCAGTAAGCTGATTTCCCATTGTCCTACTAAGCTACAAATCATTCTCCAAAGGAAAAGAACATGAACAAATTGCAGTGTCATCAACTGAATATCAACTTCGGAGCCGTTTAATGGGACTTCTATTAAAGAGCTTTGTAGATCTATGTATATAATATCTAATGTGAACATGCCATTATTCTCTGTCTTATGATACAAAAATGGCATTTTTCAATAGATTTGTTTTGGATATATAATTAGTTCCTTTACTGTTTAGAAGCCTTGCAAAAAGTGTTTAGATTCTGGTACTGCAACCGTTTTTCTCTTGCCCAGAAATGTTTTGCCTTCTCTTTTCCTACAAGTTAAGTGTTCTAAATATAAGTGTGTGTGTGTGTGTGTGTGTGTAATTCTAACGTGAAATAGTTAATTACACTAGCTAATAGTTTCATGTATCATTACTGTTATTGTATGTATCATAATGTGGTCTATGTAGGTTTTTATCTGAAAGCGTCCCTTCTATGGTTTATTATTTTATGTTCCAGTGCATTTTATTTCAGATATAAACCATGGACAGTAATGATAGTCACTGACTTATAAATCTTAGTAAAAAGTAGTTAAAAATTTAAAACTCAGTGTGAAAAATACGTCTTGTTAGAAGAAATTAAAACCTTTAATGTTTAAAAAGACAAACTGTTTACATATTGCCTCTAGGCATTTCTTTGAAATGGAATTTGCCTCATCAAACTTCTTTAGTTCATTAATGACAGTTTCTGTGTTGCTCTAAACTGAAATTTTTGATTTTCTTTTGCTATAGCATGAATGTCATTGCATGGCAGAGATGTTTGTCTACACATTTCTATTCTGACATGCTGTACTCAAATTATGTTTTGCTTTCTTCTTACTACACTAATAATTAGTATTGTAATCACTGCCTGAAAGACATGCAAATTTAAAATCAACACTACTCCAAATTTAAAAGTGTTCAGGATGAGGAAGTTTTGAATGCTATAAAAGGGAATACTTTGGACTGCATGATATAAAAGAATACCATGAATTCCCTGGGCGCTCCCATGATTTCCATGAGTATCTATGCAGATGCAAAACCTATGCATGAATGTTCCCTGGCAGCTTTGTTAATAATAGCAAAAAGACTGGAAACAATGAGTAAAATGTTAAACAAGCTGTGGGACTATGCAGTACTCCTCAGTCACAGAAGGGAACAAACCACTGATACATGCCACCATTTGGATAGACTTCAAGTGGATCATGCTGAATAAAAAAGCCAATCTGAGTTGCACACTGTGCATTTCCATTTATGTGACATTCTCAAAATGACAACATGATGGAGATGGAGAACAGGTTAGGAATAGGGAGAGGAGTAGGCAGTAGGTATGGCTACAGAGGAATAGCACAAGGGAAACTTGTGCCAATGGAGCAATTCTGTGTCTTGATTGTGATGGTGGTTACACAAAGCTCTACGTGACAAAATTAGGATTATACAGACACACACATATACACAAATGAGTGCACTGTTGATTGTACCAATGTCAGTTTTCTGGTTTTGTTATTGTGCTACAGTTATGCAAGAGGTCAGCATTGAGGGAGGCTGAGCAAGTCCTGGACCTACCTAAGCATTTCTTTAGAACTTCCTGTGAATCTATAATTATTTCACAATAAAAGTTTCAAAAGTAGGCAGGATGGTGTGGTGGCTTATGCCTGTAATCCCAGCACTTTGGGAAACCAAGGTGGGCAGGTCAGTTGAGGTCAGGAGTCCAAGACCAGCTTGGCCAACATGGTGAAACCCCATCTCTACCAAAAAAATATAAAAATGAGCCAGGCATGGTGGCGTATGCCTGTAGTCCTAGCTACTCGGGAGGCTGAGGCACAAGAATTGCTGGAACCTGGGAAGCGGAAGTTGCAGTGACCCAAGATTGCACCACTGTACTCCAGCCTGGCAAGAGTGAGATCCTGTCTTAAAAGAAATAAAAAATAAATAAACATAGGAAAATAGTATAATGAACCCTCGTGTACTCATCAGCTTATTCTATAGTTATCAATGTATGGCCAATCTTGTTTCACTTGTATTCCTACCCACTTTCCCCTCCCCATCCCATATTATTTAGAAGCAATTCCAAGGTGTCATACCATTTTATCCGTAAACATTTCAGTCAAAGTAAAAATCATTTATTTGGCCAGGCGTGGTGGCTCACGCCTGTAATCCAAGAACTTTGGAGGCCAAGGTGGGAGAATCATCTGAGGTCGTGAGTTCAAGACCAGCCTGACCAACATGGAGAAACCCCGTCTGTATAAAAAAAATTAAAAAAAAATTTTTTTAAATCATTAATTTTTACACATAAACATAATGTTATGAATAATTTTAATGTAGTAGGCATCTAATTGCTAGATATTTTGCCTTAATCCATCAAGGTTCATTACCCCAATTTATCAATTTTTAGGATTATTTCTTATTTTTCTTTCCTGGTATTTCTTTTACATCCTTCTTTCCTTTCTTATCTTTTGGAGATGCCTTTCCTTTCTTTCGTGCTTTTATTAGTTCACTGAATTTCCCAAATCCTTTCCGTACCATTGTTCCACGCCACCACGCCTGAATCTGAAAACAAGATAAACCCAAATTCAGCATCGGCTGGTATCATGATGAACGGGAGATTGTTAAATCTCTTTTTTCTGATAGGTGGTCTTGAAGATGTAGACAATGGGATGTGATTAGAACTCTAAATTTTATTTTCTATTTTTCTCAACCAGCCAGGCATTCAGGCAAATTTTTTAAAAATGCATTTATTGCTTTTATGTGCCAGGTCCTGAAACGTTCTAGACTTTTGGGCAAGAGCTGTGAAATAACTGCCTCAACTTTATGGAGCTCACATTTCAGTGAGAGAAGAGGCAGTAAGAAATAAACATATGAATGTTTAATTTGACAGACGGTGATGAGTGCTACAGAGAGCGACCGTGCATGGTGAGGGCATCTGAGTGCTCTTCCCTGCCTTGCAGCTCCTTACTGGGCTGTCTGTGCTCCTGCCTAAAGCCACCCCTCACTTGTTCCCTCGATCCCATCCCCTCCTACCTGCCCAGCAACACCCCTCCACTAGTAGTAGACTCATCCAGTGGCTCCCCATTTCTCTCAGAATAAAAGCCAAAGTCCTTATATGGCTTACAAGGCCCTCTCTGATCTGCCTCCCCAAACCTGACCCCCCTAACCTCTTAACTCCTCTTTCCCTGGCTCACTCTGCTCCAGCTGTGCGGGCTTCCTCCCTGCTCAGACACACGGGCACAGTTCTAACTCAGAGCCTGTACATTCGCTGCTTCCTTTGCCTGGAACTCTTCTCAGTATTCAGATGGCTCCACTGCTTCAAGGGTTTCCTCAATTGTCATTGCTGTGGACTAAACTGTGTTGCCCCAGATTCGTATGTTGAAGCCCTAATCCCCAGTGTGATGGAATTTGGAGAAGGGGCTATGGGGAGATAATTAGATTTAGATGAGGTCATGAGGGTGGGGCCCTCATGATGAGAACAGTGGCCTTATAAGGAGAGACATCAGAGAGCTATCACTCTCTAGTGAAATATCTCTCTCACTCTCCCTCTCTGCCGTATGAAGACACGGGAGAAGGGAGCTTCTACAAGCCAGGAAGAGAGCCTTCACCAGAATCCAATCATGCTGATACTCTGACCTCAGACTTCCAGCCTCCAGAACTGTGAGAAAATACATTTCTGTTGTTTAAGCCACCTGTTCTATGGTATTTTGTTGTGGTAGCCTAAGCTAAGACTGTCATCTTTTCAATGAGGCCAACTCTGACAATCTTATTTAAATCAATTACTTCCCCACCTCCACACACTACAGGCAATTTCAGTTCCCCTTAGGCTGATTTTTTTTTTTTTTAATTTAACAATAGCACTCTTTAACATAGTATTTAATTTTACATTTTATGGTTCATGCTTTTATTTTCCTCCTACTAGATTTTAAGTGCTGTGAGGACATAAATATTTGTTTTGTTCACTGATGTATCTCTATGCTTAGAACAGTGTCTGGTACATAGTAGAAGCTCAATAAATGTTTGTTGAATGAATGAACAAATGAAAGAGGTGGATGAGGTTATGCTGTTTCATATAAGGTGGATCAAGGAAGGGCCCTCTGATAAGAGGCCATTCAAGCAGAGATGGAATGAAGTGAGGGCCAGAATCTTGCCCATATCTGGGGGAAGCATCTCTGGGCACAGGGAAGAACCAGTGTTAAGGCCCTGAGCCAGAGCACACTTGGTCCTTGGAAGAACACCTGTGATCTCCTTGTGACTGAAGCCCAGTGAGAGTGGGAAAGATGAGATGGGGAGTGAAAACAGCAGACCAACCAGGATCCAGGGAATAGCACTGCTCTCTAGGGGCATTTTGGAAATTTATGGAGCTTTTTGTGGTCTTAAGGTTTAGCAGTCTTTAATGTGTGGCCTGTACCCTGGTCTACGAAGCCTTTCCAACGGTGTGCAGGCATGGATAAGTTGAAGACAGCTCATTTCCTGAGCTGTATCCCTTCCTAAAGTCATCCCGAGAACATAACTGTGGATCCCCCATGCCACTTGCCCCTCTGGTGCTCCACAGAGGGAGGGTATGCCTTGCACCCACCTGAATACCTGAATCTTACTGTGGTGCATTGCCCTGGCCTCAAAAAATCTTTAGGACACACACACACACACACACACACACA